AGCTCCCAGGGATCTGGGGTGCTGCGAGGCTGTCTCGCGGTCTCCTCTTGGCCCCCTCATTAGTCCCTCCCGAGCGCCTCGCCCCCGATCCCGTGCCCAAGAGCCGCGCCTCCCCCCATGGTGGCGAGTCCCCAGCACCCGCTGCAGTGAGAATGAACCTGGCAGTTCCCGGGAAGTCCCGACTGTCTCTCCTAGAGCACGGCAGGCTTTCCGGAGGGGGTGGCCACTGCGCTGGCCTCCAGGGCTCAGCAGGAGCCGAGGCCAGCAAGGGGAAGCCCTCGCTCCCTATGGGGGGCAAGCTGCACTTAGGGGAGACTGGAGAGGGAGCCTTGAATGCCCCTGCCAGCGGCTGAGACTGCACTCTGAGACCGGTGGAGGCCTTGGGAGGGTCTAAGGATTTAAGGGAAGGTGGAGGGACCCCAGGCGTCTTGGTACACTGGGGAGGGGGTGCTGGGAGGGGAACAGGGCAAGGTGTTGGGATGGAACAAGCGTCTAGATTCTAAAAACACAGGAAGGAAAGGGTATGAGACCTGGCGAGGGAGTGGAAGTGAGGTGAGTGGGTGGGGGGAGTAGAGGACCTCGCTGAGATGGGTGTGTCCTACTGGGGGGGGGACCCTACATGGAGGAGAGAGAGATGACAGGAAATGGGGTCTGGGCCGTCCCTCTGGTGCTGCGCCTGCCACTCCCTGGGAGTCCAAGCAGGATCCCATCCCAGGGACCCCACTGCATTGTCTTTTCTCACTGACTCTAGTGCTGACTGCAGGCCAGGAAGGGCTGGTAGATGCCTGGGGAGCCAGCCCAGAGCATCCTGGGGAGCGGCTCCTCCGGGGCACCCTCAACAGGGAACATCAGCACAGGGCCCTCTCCTCACCAGGAGACAGTCACCACCCAGATGGCTGGAACTGCAGAGGTAGGAAACCCCGAGGACTCTACCTCGGTCTCAGTCCTTAGGGGGTTATTCACACGGTCCTGCTTGCGCTGCGCTTCCTGCAGCCGGTCACCGGGAGGATGCTGTGGACCTGACAGTCTCTGGTAGACCCCATGCAGGCCATGCCGCCCAACACACCTCAGCCCCACATTCCTGACCCCAGCAAGGCCGCCACCCTGCGAGGAGCTCTCAGGGCAGCATTTCTCCCCGCAGCAGCAGGAAGCCAGAGCTGTGCCCTCCCCAAGCCCTGTCCCCAGCCCTGTCCAGAGAGAAATGTGAAAACCCTGGCTGTGAGCACAGCTCCCCGGCACCCACAGGGCCACAGTCACCCCATCATGATGGAGCCACTGCCGGTTGATCTGTAGGAGCTGCAATGGCCCAGCATCCAGAACCAGGCCTGCCCTGAGGCCATGAACACTGTCCACTTTGCTGTGGGCAGAGGAGATGCCAGCAGGAGCAAATGCTCACGCTCAAATCCAGACAGAGCCAGCATGGCACACACCACCCTGGGGCCAGTGAAGACACTGGGAGGGGCCAGCAGCTGGCACATCTGGTCAGATGACTTGAGGAAGCATGGGGTGGCCAGGCCTCAGGCAACAGCTGGCCTCCCCCAAAGTGCCCTCCCCAGCGAGAGTGGGCCACCAGAGACAGATCACTCTAGGGCAGTAGTTCTCAACCGGGGTGATTTTGCTCCCCAGGAGGCATTTGGCATGGCCACTCAGCCAGTGAATGGACTTGGGGTTCAATTTGTCAGGATTCCAAATTCCAGCTTCCTCCAGCGCCTCTGTTGCTCCCCCCTCCCCCACACCTGCCCCACCTCTCCTTCCACATTTCCAGAAACACAAGCAGACCCCTGAGCACACTTGGCTTTCCTGTTCCTTCCTCACCACGCCACACTTTCCAAACCGCCCGGCCTGTCCTAATTAGAAACCCATTTCATCACTCCATCAGGCTGGGATCCCTTTGGGGACAGACCCAAATTAGGCTCTGAGCCCCGGGATTAGCTGCTGCTGTGAAGGAAGATGAGCCCCTTTGCTGACATTGCTGCCACTGACCTGAATCTCCCCCTCACCGGTGCTGGCCCCGAGAACTTTCTGTGACCACGGGCGTGTGTGCTGTCTATATGGTTGCCACGAGGCACGTGTGGCTACTAAGCATCTGAACTGTGGCTGGTAAGACTGGGAAGCTGGGTTTAACACTTTATCTAACACTCATTAAATTTCATTTTGAATAGTGACCCAGTGGCTAGTGGCTACTGTGCTGGATGGCCCAACCTCATGGTCCTGGCCTCCATTTTGGCCACTGGGACCACTTCTTGGAGGCCACACAGTGATCTGAGTGGGCTTCTGCCTCTGTTGAGCACCGAACTGTGGGTGTACACACACACACACACACACACACACACAATCTTCACTTTGCTCCTCAACCTCTCATTTAAACCTCGCCGCTCACTGATGGGGGAGGGGAGGTCCCCAGGGCCACACTGTAGCTCTTCATGGCCCTTCGTTGAACCATGTAGGATGGGTCACAGCCCGGAACTGTTGGGCACCCAGTGTTGGGTACCCGTAGGCCTGTGGGGCACTATCCTTACTTTGGTGCTCAGGAGTTTACCCCTGTGGCTAGATGCCTGGCCCTGTTGAACACCCCTTGGGGGCTGTCTTCCCACCTCCACAGGACACACTGCCAGACCCCACGGGTCACTGTCTGAGCTACAGACTGGCACCTGCTGCCTCCTTGGAGGAGCCTGCCCTGATTGCCTCTGACGCTTCAGCGCTGGGCTGTCTCCGCTGGCACCCAGCCCTCCGAATCAGAGGTAACCGGCTGTGACTCCTCCACGCCCCCTGAGCTCTCTTGGGAACGTGCTGAGTGGGGATCACTGCATCCCTGGGCCACCAGGGCCTGGGTG